GTGGGCAAAAGGGAATCGTCATAGGTCTCCTTCTCAGTCACAGTGGTCAGGTGCAGCCCACTGACCCTCGCCACTCTTACAGGAAGTGAAGTATATGAACTGGACACTCAGAAAGAAATAAGAGGACAGTATGGTCAAGAGCACTGACCTTTACTTAACCTTCAACACATGTGGAGCTCACCAGTGAAATTAGTCCAGTGAATGTCTCCAACTCTGAACAAACATCCGTTATTTCTTTCAGGAAGAACACGGCATTATTATGTTGAAAATCTAGAATGTCCCCTAAGCAGCTCATGTGTTCCGAAGTAGAGCCTGATGGGTAGAAGTTTATTGTAGGTGTGGCTTAGAATGGCGCATGCATGTCCTGGGCTCCTCCTTTCTCTGTCTGCTTCCTGGTCACCATAATGTGAGTAGTTTTCCTCGCCCAGCCTTTGCCACCATGCTGTTTGTGCTTTGGAGCCAGGTCACCATGGACTGATTGCTCTGAAAACTGTGAGCTAAAAATAAGCCTTTTCTCCTTTAAGTTGCAGGTATCAGGCACTTTGTTATAGCAAGGCAAAAGTGACTAATTCAAGAGAAGGAGGCACAAGTACAATGCTGTTTCCTTTTCTAAGAGGAAAATGTCAAATGAGATCTTCCATCTCCAATGGATTTTTTCTTCTTAAAAATAATTTGAATTTTTCTTCTTTGCTTAAAAATAATTAGAAGCACAAGACATAGAAGTGGTTTATTGTTCAACTGGATCATAATTAAGCCCATCTCCTGCATATCATTAAGATATGAAAATATTAAACATCAACATGCCACTTCCCATAAAATGCTTATATCAAGGAGAATTGACTTTAGGGTATTTGGGGGCCCAGTATTCTGGGCCCAATAATGGTCCCCATCATTACATCACATACTATCATTACACTGTTGGGGTTATTGATTTAGTTAAAAATCTACACATTATGTAAAACAATGACTGCGTGTAGAGCTTTAGTTTTTGTCACTGTTAATTTACATTTATAAAATATCTTATAGAAATTATCTCTGTTTTTTCAATATCTTGTAAAGGAAATAAGATAACTCATATTCTCCCTCTGTCTTTAGTCATTTTTCTTACTAGGATAAAGTGCCAGACACCTACAATTTAGAGGAACAGAGATTTATCTTGCCCATATTTTAGAATTTTCAGCCTTTGTACGGTTAGTGGCATGGTGGATGCGGCTGAATGAAGGAAAATTTCTCACATGGAAATCAGAAAGCAAGGGAGGACCTGGGGAGGGAGGGATTCCCGCAGTGACCTGTCTCTTCTGACCAGGCCCCAATTCCTAACTGGAGGTTACCTCTGTTGCCCCTATATTCCAATCGCCTTCCAAAGGTCTTGTCAATAATCAAATGAGGTTTTAGGGGAACATCTAGATATAAGCCATAACATATGCCCCAGGCCCCCAAAGACTTTTTCATATCTCTTTATGAAAATTGCATTCAGTTCATCTCTAAGAGTTACCAGATTCCTCCTGTCTCAGCACTGCTGAAAAGTCCAAGTCTAAAGTCTATGAGGATTAGGGCAAACTGTTAGCGGTGAGCTTCTATAAGTATCCTATAAGCAGCAGTGAGTTCCTATAGGTATCACAAAGAAGTTAAACACTACTGACATATGATGGTGCAGGATAAACATCCTCATTCCAATAGAGAAGAATAGGGGTATTGAAAGGAATAGGATCAAAACAAGGCAAACTTTATATCCTGTAGATCCATGTTTGGTTCATGTCTGGGGCAAGTTGTGGCAAGGAGTCGTGAAGTCCAAAGGTTTGGGAAACCTTGCCCCTCAGGCATTGCTGGTGGTAGTAGCCCTTATGGTTTGTGCCTTGCACTGACCCTGCTAGCTGCCTGTGGCTTTCTTTAGGGGCATTTTACATTTCTGGCTTCTCCAAATCTCTGGGTCTTCTACTGCCCTGTTTTCAGCTTCACGGTTTTAAATATTGTCCTCTCAGGGACACACGGTCAAGCCTCCCAACCCTTCCTCTGGAATATGGGTGGAAGTCTCCATGACCCTACAACTCTTTCCTTCTGAATGTCTGTAAAACTAGCATGATGCCAAGGCCTGCTGCAGGTTCCGACAGTATCTAGGTCATTTTGCTCCTGGCTGCAGGGGTACCTGAGTGCCTGGATGGCTGAGGACTTTCTCAAGCAGGGTGCCTTAAGGGTCTCTTCTCAAAGCAAAAACCTTTCACTTTTCTACCCCGAGCCTTAAGGATGGAGTTTTTCAGATTTCTCCCATGCCCTCAAGGTATCCTTTGTATTGTCTAATGTGAAATAGTTAACTTTTTCCCAGCTTCCATTTAAAGTTTTTTAAATAATTTTTTTAATGAAAAAAATTCGTAACAAAATAATAATAAGCAATAGTAAACAATAGTAAATAAATTGTGTATTATCTTCAAAGTAATTACCCAGAGTATAAGACACAGACAAAAAATATTCACTTACAAAGTAGAAACGGGGCCAAGGATTTAGCTCAGTGGTGTAAGTGCCTACCTGGCAAGCGCAAGGTCATGAGTTCTACCCCCATACAAAAAAAAAAAAAACAAACCCCAAAACAAAACAACAAACAAAAAACCCCCAGACAAACAAAAAAAGTAGAAACAATAGTATAAAATTCTATTTTCAATGAACTAAGAGAAACTAATGAAACAGAAAAGTTTGAATAATTCCTCAAGTTACTTATTCCACTGTTTAAAAAAATTTTACTATGTAAACTTCTTTTTCATACTAATCTTTTCAGCAACTAAGCTCTTTGCTCCAACTTTGCAGGCCGTAGCTTTAGCAGATTTTTCTTTCTGGCTAAGCTCAAAACTTTTAAAATAATTTGGCTGTGCCATTTGCTCTTGATTTCCAATGTAGGACCAGCAAAAAGCCCCAAACAGTAACCATGACACAGCCTCGACATGAGGCTGCCTGGAAATTTCCTCTGCCAAATTAACAGTCTGCTGTCCTTAATCTCATGACACCTGAAGATAAAACATAAACACATTTTCTGACATACATAATACATGTGGCTTAGAGTCCCACTCCTGACCCTAATCCTTACTACCTGCATTCCCACCAGCATTCTGGTTTTGAGCTCTTACCAGGATTTTCCATCAGTCTCAGCGTTATAGAATGGTAGGGCTGCTTTAGCTGGCGTCTCCAAATCTTTCCAGACTCCTTTCGTGAACCACTCCCAAAGGCTTCTGAATCACATGGTCAGGTAGTTTCACAACCACGACCCCACTTCTCTGGTAGTGAAAAGTGTCTTAGTTATTTTCCTCATTTCTGGGACAAAACACCCAACACCCATGTTGCATTTTGTGTCTGGATGTCCTTCCACCCTACCTGCAAGCCTTATGCAGTCACACTCGTGATTGATTCATGGTCCAATGCTGGGATTACGGATGTGAGTGCTACACCCACCATGGATGTGGCCTACATGCAATATAAGGGACAGAAAGAGTCCTCTCTCGTGCTCCTCCCTTTTTCTCTTGTTGCCTGCTGTCTTTTGGGAACCATGCAGTGTTGCTCCTCTGCCAAGCTACCTTGCCTTGGAGCCAGCTGAGTATGGACTGAAACTTCCATGAACCGTGAGCTAAATAAACCTTTCCTGCCTCAATTTTGGGCACTGGGTATTTTGTTTCAGCAGTGAGGGAAAAGTAACTAAGACAACCCACAATTTAAGAAAACAGAAATTCGTTTTGACTCATGTTTCTGTTCATAGCTGTCCAGTTCCAAGGCAGGAAGCCATGGCAGAGGGCATGCCAGAGAGATAGAATGTCAGACAGAAGGCAGAGGGAGTCAAGGGGGGAGCCAGATAAAAAGAAAAACCCTTCAGGACATGTCCCCAGTGACTCCTGTCCTCTAACCAGGTCCCAGCTCCTAACAGCTCCTAACAATAAGCCAGTTATATAACACCCCTATAATCCAATCACATCCATAAGCCCTACCTTTGACTGCATGAGGCTTTGGGGGAGGCATATCCAGATATAAACTCCAATGTCTCCTTTACAAATGAAGTTATTCATGTACCAGGTGGACATTTCAGATTTTCTGATTTCTAGTTCAAAACTTTTTCTACTATTGTATACATGGGTAGCTACTTGATTTATTTTATTCACTAATTTTTTTGTCTTTGAGTCAGGGCCTTGCTATGCAGCTCTGGCTGGCCTTGAGCTCACTTTGTAGCTTAGATTGGTTTTGAACTCACAGCAGTCCTCCTGCCTCAGCCTCTGGAGTGCTGGGATTCCAAGCACGTGCCACTACACCTGTCCCTTATTCAGTAATTTAAAAGTTGCATGTTTTACCTTTTCATTAGAAACTCTCAAATGATGACAAAGTAGAAATTTCTCCTACTCCACTAGAAGAAGAATTTCCTGGTTGGGGTTTTATATATAATAATTGACTTTGCATCTTCCTAGACAAATCAATGTGTATCTTACATAGTTGACAAATCTTTGCTTTCTGCCTTACACAAGGAAATTTTCACATGCTAATTGGTTTATTTCACAAGAGTCAAACAATTATGGAAGGGAAAAGGGGTGAACTTGATTTCACTCTGCCTCCTCACACTGCAGGATGGATAGACAGGCATCACCATGGCCCTCTCTTCTTAAACATATCTTTTATGTTTAGATAGTTAATTTGTGTAGAAATGTATACATCAAAGATGAACGAAATATGTATATGCATATAAATAACTGGGACACTGCTCTGCTCACCACTCTGTAACCTGGTTTTGTTGTTTAATTACACACCGTAAATATTTTCTTATATCCTATGAATTAGTTAGGTTTCATTTGACTCTAAAACCTGATTAAGTAAGCAGGTTATTTGTTTCACAGCATAATAAATCCAGAGGTAGACAGTCAAGGCTGGTGGGATCACTTCATAATGCTTTCTAGATCCAATTTTCTTCCAGTTTTTACTCTGCCATTCCTAGCAAGTGGTTTTAGACCTTGTCCTTATTACCTCATTAGCACAAGATGGCTGCTTGATCCCTCCAAATGCAGGTAGAAACGTGGAAAGAGCAAAAGGTGCATGCTAGGTGAGACTTCTGATAACAGAGCTTTCCTGGAATCCTACTCAACAGCTCCTGCTTACGTCTAACCTGCCTCAAAGTTTCAGATGGGCACCCAAAGCCACAAAAGAAGGTAGGTGTTTCTGTTTGTGTAGTTTTCAAAAAATAGATGCTGAAATGGAGTTAGGTATGTGAGAGGTTTAACGGTAATTAACTATTATAAAAGAGGGAGGTGCTGAATTGGGCTGGGTAGCCACCATTCCCTGATGCAAACCCTACGTCTGTACCAGGTCAGAACACAGGTTGCAAAGCAAATTGCCCACTGGGAATCCTTTATGAGATGGAAATGGCCAGGCTTTGTGTTAGCATCTTGCTTGGTCCTTGGCTGGGGACAAAGCGTGACCTTGGCTTGAAAGTTTCAGGAATTCATACCCGAAGGCTGTCAGTTACGGACCTAGTAGCAGGTAGCAAGTCCTTTCCTTAAACAGGGGGATCTGAGTGGCACATTTCTGCATACAGCACTAGGAAATGTAAGTTTGAAGTTGAATCCATTGCCACCCCAAAAGAATGGAGTTCAGTTAGGAAGAAGAAAGAATATTGTGGGTCAGTGTTGCATCTTATTCTTAGGATCCCTATTTAGGTTACAAGAACAGTCTGCCATTGGTAAACATGCTTTGACTCACCTGGTGGAAGAGTATAAAGAAACAGAAATATCATCTTCATTAAAGAGGGTGTTGGCAATCCATCTTCTAGTGACATCAGTGGATTCACTTTGGGTAATTTCAAAAGAAATAGGTTTTCTCTGGGCATGGTGAAATCCCAGCACCTGGGAAAGCTAAGGCAGGAGGATCACAGGTTTGAGGCCAGACTGGACAGCTTAGGGACTTAACAAGACCCTGCCTCAAAATTTAAAAAATAAAAAGATGAAAAAAGAAAGCTGGGCTTAAAATGGGTAAGTGGGGGTCCCTAGCTTCCAAGTGAAATGGTAGACCTGTAATAGCAGTGAACATGAGGTTGCTTTTTGGGTTCTCTTCTAGATTTTATACTTCTCTAGAAATCACTGGCATAATTAAGGTTTTCCCCTTTGGGCTTATAAAGATTTAGCGTCTTGATATTTGACTGATAAACTGCGGAGAGACCAATGACTCAGTCTTCTCTCCTGAGCTTAGATAGTGCAGAGGATCTGGAAGATGCAAGAAATCATTCAAAAACAAGTCCTCCCCAGGGCTAGCGAATGCACAGGTCAGTGGTGCAGTGCCTGCCCAGCAAGCTCAAGGCCCTGGGTTTGATTCCCAGTACCGAAAGAGAAAAATCAAAAAGGAAAAAAGAAAAAAAACACAGAAAACCAACTCAGGGAAAAATGGAAGCAAATGGAATAACCAATTTAGAAACTGTAAGTTTGTTCACTGAGGATATTTATGATCCCCACCATGCTGAAGTAGTTTCCTCTAGTCTTGGCATAAAACTATGGAGAAAAATACCTCATCTCTGGAAGCAGGGAAATACATTTACTCTCACAAGCACATGAAAGAGTAAAGAAGGTTAGAAAGCATACCTCAGTCTGTTGTTATCGCCACAAAGAGAGGTAGCTGGCTCCCCATCTGGGGAGCTGGATCTGTGCTTAGAACGTGGAGCCAGCGTCTATACATTGCAAATAAAACCTCAACATGTGGAAATAGCACACGGTGGAGAATACGTTTGGATCTTAGCTAATCATAGAACACCGGTAATTTTGTCCCTTAATGAGATTATGTAAAGCCTAGCCAAAAGTATCTGAGCTCCTCTCACACAGAGGAAAAGCATAGTCAGTTTTAAATCAGCAGCAAGGAATTCAAAGCTTTCCAATAATGCATTTAATTTGAAATGACACACTTACTGCAGAAAATAGAGAAACATACCAGATGATTAAAATTACCTCTGCTGTCACCATCTAGAAGGAACCAACATAAAGTATGCTATAGAAGAAAGGGCTGGGGTGTGCACAACCTGGCCCTTCTCCCCAAATTAACAGACAAGCACCTCTCCATCCCCGGGGAGAGGAGGGACTTCTTGTCCCACTGCAGCTCTCAGTGGCCTGCAGGACTTCAGCGACCTGGACTGGTTGCAACCACCAGTTCTGTGGCCTGTCACACAGCTGCAAAGAGGTGGGAATGAGGAGCCTGTCATTTTGTTCTGTTGCGGTAGTGAGGAGCAAAACCAGGAGGGCACTACCATTGAGTTATCTTCCCACGGTATTTTTTTTTTAAACGTGTTTAAATTTTGGGACAAGGTCTTTGCAAGTTGGCGAGGCTGCCTGCAGCTCACGTCCTCCTGCCTCACACTCTGACTTGTAATTAGAGGTGTGCACTCCTGTGCAGACCTCAGGCTTTGATTCCACTCTCTGCATCCCTGTGCACCTATTGGAGAAGAAGCAAGTGACAAGCTTGTCCATTTCAGGAAGCCATGATGGTCGGTTACTCTGCAATGCCTGCAGCCGTCACTCTCAGCTCAGTTTCGAAATCCTCTGTCTCCACCTCCAGAGCCTCTGGCTTTTCCCCCATCAGTGACCCAGACGGCCCAGCTGCTCTTGCCTCAGTCCTGGAGGAACTCAGCTGTTCGAAGCTCCCTGCCAGACGACAGGACCTTGGAGAGGTGAGGACAGAGACCAATGGGGACAGCAGGAGGGAGAGCAGGGAGGGACAGCGGGCTGCTGCTGGGCCCAGAAGGACAAAGTGGCCAAGAGTTGGATACAGGCACTGTACAGGATCAGGAAAAAGACAGGTCTTGGGATAGCCGGGGTTCAAATCCCAAGCAGTTGGGAAAGATTCAAGTTCTGTTCCTTATGTGTAAAATTGAACAGCAAATTTACCAATATCAGATACATCTCCTACAAGAAACTCGAAGGTGGGGTTTATTTTCAGATCTAGCCAGAAACCACTTTTTAAAATTAGTATATTTTTATCCTGTTAATAATTACATCTTTTTTTTTTCCTGCTGGGAGGTCTGACAGCCTCCCTGAGCAACCAGAACACCTGGCCAGTCTGAACATGGAAACCAGCCGTGCTTCCCCTGTGAAGGCTGCAGCAACAGAGAGATTTCCTGTCTGCCGAGAGTTTCTTCGTTCTCCATTGAGATCACAACCAGGTAAAGTAGAATGCAGAAATGCTTTTAGGAGAAAAGAAGAAAGCAAAATGGCCCAGATGTTGAGACATACCAGGATTGAGTGGGGGGGGGGGCTGCAGCTTAATGGTAGAGCACTAGCTTATTATACGCAAGGCCCAGGGTTCCATTCACAGAACCAAGAAAGAGAGAGAGAGAGAGACAGACAGACAGAGAGACAGAGACAGAGACAGAGACAGAGACAGAGAGAGCAGAAAAAGAGATCTGCCCATCACATTTTATGATTTAGATTCCAAATGTGATTCTTGACTGGTCCACAGCTGTTTCTCTCCTTCATCGTTCACCTCTTTCTGGACTCTAACTATTGAGGGAGCGGTACATGGCCCAGTCCTCATGCTCTCTCTGTTGCTAGTCCTCCTCTTCCCCAAGGGCTCTCAAACAGTATATGGCTTTAACTGTTTCCTGCATTGATGGCTACGAAGTTCAATCCCCAGAAGAATGGACTCTTCCACTGTCTACCCATCCATTACTTGATGTCTACAGACATGTACTGAGCTCTCTTACATCCCATAATACGTACAACCTACCTAAAATACCCTCACTCCTCCCTATCCCAGGATAAGGGTCCTCACTTTCTTTGGGCCCCAGACTTTGAAATGGCCCTGGAATTGCCCTCTCACATCCCACATCCATTGAGGAAATATATAAATTGTCCTCTTTGTCTGTATGGTCGCCTAGTCTAAACTGCCACCCCCTGTGCTCCCATGACTGCGATATACCTAACCTATCTCATGGCTTCCTCACTTGAAATTTTGAAATAAGAACTACACGTACTGTTCTCTGTCCCCAGTTCCTGCCATAGGGCTTCTGACATGCTTCCTGACTGTGACCCTAGAAGGCTGTTTTGTTCTAATATTTGATCTCTGAGTCCCAGTTTTCAAAACAGAATTCCCAGGATGTTTGTAATTTTCTGTGCAATAGGAACCTCTGATGTAGAGATCTTTGTCTCATGGGATTTCCTGGGAGGTGGGACCATTTCTTGTTCCAGGTAGGCAGCTCTGTGGTGGGGTTCTGGCTGGGGACTCATCACCCTAAAGGACCAAGTTAGGATTTGAACCTTGAAACTTTCAGTCCTCCCCTCATTCTTTGGGAATTGGAGAGGAGCGGAGAAGTAAATGGAGGAGTGATTGTGTGGGTGTAATGCAGCCTCCACAAGAATCTCTAAATTTTGGAGTTTGGAGAGCTTCCGGAGAGGTAACCAAGCACACGGAGGTCCCCACAGGGTGGAACATGAGGAGTTAAGTTAAATTAAGAACAATTATTACCATAAATGACACACTGCCATGAATCCCCTTCAAAATTCCATGCCCCCCACTTCAGACACACTTCTCAGTGAGAACCAGCTGTGAGCCTCAGTCCTCAGCCTGCCTGCCTCTGTCCACGAGACTGCGCCATCCACATACCAGGCACACGTGCACACTCTCGGCCAAGTGGCAGACTGTCTATGAGCAGATGGCTCCCACCGCCTCCCCCTGGGCTCCTACAGGTGCAAGAGCGGCTCTCACAATCCAAAGCTTCTGCGTGCTTTCTGGGGGTGCTAGTGTCCAGGTCTCACCACCTCTATCTTGCTCTGAGGCTCTCCTGTCCTGGTTCTTTTGGCTTTTCATAGAAGGATCATTGCATCAGCCACCAGGGATTAAATCAGACTTCAGCCCCTCTCCAGTTCCTGGAAGCTATAGGCAGGGATAAAATTCATTCTAATCAGGGTTGGTTTCCCAGGCAACAAGTCCTCCGCTTACCATCCTTAGGGACTTCGCAAAAGTCACTTTGTTAACAGAAATAGAAAGTCGTAGAAAGGGGTTTGTTAAGAATAACAAGGTCAGTCCTTCCCAGTGAGTACCCTTATCAATTAGGAAATTTCAAGAGCTTCAGGAGCGCTTTGTCGTGAATAGTTAGGAGGATCAAATACATATTCCTCCCTCTCAAAACACAAAGAAAAACAAATGTCAAATTTAATTTTAAGAAATGATCTTTAGCCCATATGTGCTTTAGCCCATAAATGAGAGCACTGTCCCAATAAGCTGAGCACAGGCCCGGTTTGGGTAGACAGAACGGGGCTGAAGGAACAGAAGGGAAGGACAGAGAGTAGCAGGGTCCTTTCCCAGTCACTTTCCTGGTAAAGCAGGACAAGAAGACAGAAAACGGGAGAGGAACCAGTCAGCACACAATTGCTGCAGGTGACTTTTGAGGGCAAAAATTTAAGCAGCAGAAGTTACATTACCAGGCTGACTGTTTAGGAAACTTGGCTGTAATCAATGGTAATAACTGATCAAATATTAGAACAAAACAACCTTCTAGGGTCACAGTCAGGAAGCATGTCAGGAAGTTTTCCTGACTTCCCTGAAGGTCAGGTGACAGCTGGGGTTCCCCCCCCCCCCCGAGACTTTAGCAGGAGTGACTCCGAATTGCCTTTTAGTAAGATCTGTTGGAGCCCAGTGCAAGAGATTAGTGCAAAACTACCTCCTTCTTTAATTTTTATTTAGCATTATACATCACAAAATTGAAATAATATGTCCTTGGGAATATGGTTTGTTCAGTAGTATTCCAGAATATTGCTTTGTCCTGTGGAAAATGGTCTTTTGGATGCTATAGTTGGTTTGTTCACAACAGACAGTGATTGGAAATAACCAATCTATTTCAAGAGATAGAAGAATGTAAAACATCTACAATATATTAATTAAACTCTGAGTAGAAATAGTTTTAAAGCCAATAATAGGACAACATGGATGAATTTCAAGGATGTTTTCTTGAAGTAAAAATGCCAGCAAGTGACTCCATTTTTAGTAAGTTCAAGAATAAGCCACTTTATCAAAGCTTACAAAAGGCAGCGCTGTGGTTACCTCTGGGGGAGGGTGAGTGTCACTGGGAGAGAGCAGGTCAATCCTGATCAGGGTGGTGATTAGCGTGGAGACAGGGATCCTACTTTATCTCCCTTTTCTGGGTTTGTGATTTCAACTACCCCATAGTCAACTTTGTCCCAAAAATATTAAATGGAGATTTCCTGAAATAATTAAAATGTTTTCGGTTCTGCACTGTTCTGAGTAATCTGATGAAATCTCGTATCGTCTTGCACTGACATAGCTGGGACATGATTCATCCTCTGTCCAGCTTTGTCACTTGGTATGAAAGAGTGCACACAGGGTTTGGTACTATTCTCAATCTTCACTTCGACTTGGGGTCTCATGGCTGGGGAATACTGTACCTGCTTCTTGTCATTTGCACTCAACTCAAAATAATCCTTATGCCAAAATAGCACATTTGTAGGTGCCATATTGTGTTACCAGCCAATAGAGATGTCAAAATCTTTGAGCTCAGTAGTACACGGTGTACACTTATGATATATGAGTGATACCTCAACATGAAATTTTAGGTGTTATTAATATGTTTGCAGCATATAATGATTATATTTAACGTGGGGAGTTCGGACATGTACACAACGCATCTTAATTCTTTTTTATTTCTTCCCTTCCATCCCTAAGTGTTCCCTTCAACTATGATTTGAAAAAGCTCTGTTTCTGTTCTTTCTTGTATTCTTTTTTAATCTTTTTACCCTCCTGCCCCCTTCATCTCTTGTTTACCTTCCCATCTGAAAAAGAGCTCCCTGTTTCCTATTCTCCAGGCTTTATTTTTGCTCTTTATATTTTAGGTTCCTCATGTAAGGAAAACCATGCAATATTTAAACTTGTATATCTGGTTTACTTCACTTGCCTCACGATCGCAATGTGCATTCGTCCTTCTGTGTGACAGAGTTGAACTCCACTGTGTATAAAAACTATATTTTCTTTATCCATTCATCTGTTCATGGGCATAGAGACTCTTCCCAAGATTTAGATATTATAAATTGTGCCACCATAAACATGGGCGTGCATGTATCAGCACAATGTGATGACTTTAACTCTTTTAGGAAGATTCCTAGAAAGAGAATAGCTAGGTGGAATGGAATTTCTAATTTCAGTTTTCTGAGGGATCACCATAGTGATCTCCACAGTGGTGGAACTAGTCTACATTCCCACCAATACCGAGGGTTCCTTTTCCACACAGCTTCCTCCGCAGTTGCTATAACTCGATTTCTTGATAGCCATTGATAGCCATTCTTTTTAGAGTGAGAAGGAATCTCAGTGTTGTTTTAATTGAATTTCTCTAATGGCCAGAAATGTTGAATTTTTAAAATGTGTTTATTGGCCATTTGTGCTTCTTTTGAGGAGTATCTTTTCATTTTCGTTGCCCATGTTTTGATTATTTTGTGTTTTGGGGGATGTCTAATTTTTTTTTTTTTTTAGTTCTTTATATATTCTGGCTGAGGAGTAGCTGGCAAAAGCTTTTCCCATTCTATATGTTGTCTCTTTACTTTATTGGTTGTTTTCTTCACTGTGCATAAGATTTTTAATTTGATATGATTCTATTTGTTGATTCTTGGTATTGTTTCTTGTGCAATTGGGGTTCTGTTCAGAAAGTCCTTGCTTATGCTTATGTCTTCAAGGATTTTACCTATCTTTATCTTCCAGCAGATTAAGTGTTTCTGTAACTCATATCTTTGATCCATTTTTGTTTTAATTGAGTACACTGTGAGATGTGCAGGTCTAGACCCTGTCTTCTGTATGTGGATATACAATTGGCCCAGCATTACTTATTAAAGAGACTATATTTCCTGCAACATATGTTTTTGAAACCTCTGTCAGAGATCAAATGGTTTAATGTGTCTGTGGTTGATTGTGCTTCATCTATTCTGTTCCACTGATTCGTGTTTCTGTTTTTGTGCCAATACCATGCTGTTTTAATCACTGTTGCTTTGTAATATAACTTCATCTGGGATTATGATGCCTCTTGCTTTGGTACTGTTATTCAGAATTGCTTTTGGTTCTCCTCTGGTTTCATATGAATTTTTGGATTTTTTTCTCAAGATCTGTAAAGAATGCTATCCATATTTTGACTAACATTACATTAAATCTGTATATCAGTTTTGG